AGTCGTGAATAGCTATAAAGTGAAGGCATATGAAAGGAATATTTTTCTACAGTTATCCCTAGTAACAGGTGACGGGCTAGAGAAAACGTAATTCTTCCGACACTTCTACAAACCGTTTGGTAAACATCTCATTTTGTATAAATTTTTATACTGTGGGTGCATGTATCATGTTTGTGTGTTACATAATGTGTTTCTTATATAATTTTGAAAAAATATCATAGATTAAGGGAAATGTCTATACAGTGGACCCCCGCATAACGATTACCTCCGAATGCGACCAATTATGTAAGTGTATTTATGTAAGTGCGTTTGTACGTGTATGTTTGGGGGTCTGAAATGGACTAATCTACTTCACAGTATTTCTTTTTGGGAAACAAATTCGGTCAGTACTGGCACCCTGGGAAAATACTTTGGAGTGAAAAAAAATCGTTTAACTGGGGGGTCCACTGTATTAACGTAATATGCGACATTAATGCGCCCGAGATTATTATTATTATTATTATTAATTTTTATTATTTTATTATTATTATTATTATTATTATTATTATTATTGCATCAAGAGTAGAGAGACTCTTAGTGATTTTAATGTGTACCTACATGCCAGCACAGTGTGTAAGTTTATTTAGGTACAGGTGTACACAAGTTTAATTATCAAGTACAATACATGTAAAATATACAATAACTTTAAAACACTTGAAATTTTGGAAAGTTTCCAGACATAATAAGGAGATGTGCTCAGGGAGAATGTAAACAAACTCGGTGGGCCGCTGTGACCGTATTAGAAAGACAGGTGGGGGGAGCCGTATAGCGAGTTTTGGTCATAATTTGAAATGTCCGTATTAGCGGAACGCCATAAAGCGAAACACCATAAAGCGGGGCCCTGCTGTACTACATATATGATGCCTGAATTGTATACTGTATTATTCAAAATATACAATATATGATGCCTGAGTTTTAGATAAGTGTTATACAATATGTGTCTTAGATACAGTTCCTCTTACTCTTGCACTTTGTTTTCAGAAGACCCATGAACCATAATATCAGTCTTGTTGAATAGCTTGTGCTGTTAGCCAGTTTAAATTTATGTATATATTTTCTTGGGGATTGGTCTCATCGTAAGTAAAAATAATATTGAAAATCTGAAAGTATTGGGGCCAGAACCTTTTTGATGTAGAACCTTTTTTTTTTGTAACAGGAAAATGAAAAAAGTCTGAGAGAGAAAAAAATATGTTAATTCTATAGCTATTCAAAATGGCTGGCCACTGGTCTGCCTTTTATGCTGTGTCTGCAACAATAATGTGATCATTCACAAGGAAACCTTCACCAAATTCAACTTCAGTAACAAAAACAAAAGGTGGGACCAAGTCAACCAGGTCCTAAATGATATAAACTGAGAAGATATTCTAAGCAACACGGATCCAAACCTATGTCTACAACAAATTAACTCTGTGGCACTCGAGGTATGCTCAAGGTATATTCCTGTAAGGAAAAGGAAGAGATGTAAACTAGAAAGAGAAAGGCGCTCCCTATACAGGCGAAGGCAAAGAATAACAGAGTGGCTAAAAGAGGCCAATATATCTGTAATATGAAGGGAGGTACTGGTCAGAGAAGTAGCAGATGTCGAACTTGAGCTAAAGGAATCTTACAGGAGTCAGGAAATGTGGGAAGAACTAAAAGCCATAAATGAAATTGAAAGAAACCCAAAATATTTCTTTTCTTATGCCAAATCTAAGTCGAGAATAACGTCCAGTATTGGGCCCCTAATTAGACGAGATGGGTCCTACACAGATGGCAGCAACAAAATGAGAGGTACTAAAGTCCCAGTATGACTCTGTTTTTAGTGAGCCACTAACCAGACCGAGTCGAAGACCTAAATGAATTTTATATGAGCGAGACAGAATTTGGTAGACTCAAACCTAACTGATATTATCCTCATGCCAAATGGCTTCCAAAAAGCGATAAATAACATTCCCATGCACTCTGTCCCAGGCCCAGACTCGTGGAACTCTGTTCATCAAGAACTGCAAGAAACCCCTATCATGTGCTTTTAACATCTTATGGAGAGGGAACATGGACACAGGGGTCATCCCACAGCTGCTAAAAACAACAGACATAGCCTCACTCCACAAAGGGGGCAGTAAAGCAATAGCAAAGAACTACAGACCAATAGCACTAACATCCCACATCATGAAAATGTTTGAAAGGGTTCTAAGAAGCAAGATCGCCACTGATCTAGATACCCATCAGTTACACAACCCAGGGCAACATGGGTGTAGAGCAGGTCGCTCCTGCCTGTCCCAAAATGCACCGACATGATAGTGGCTATCTTTGTACTTAGCAAATCAAAATTGTAATTACACATTGTAACCTTTACAAAGAAATAAACTTTATCTTATCTTAACTACTGGACCACTATGACAAGGTCCTGGATGCTCTAGAAGACAAACAAAATGCAGATGTAGTATGCACAGACTTTGCAAAACCCTTTGACAAGTGTGACCATGGTGTAATTGCGCATAAAATGCGTGATAAAGGAAAAACAAGAAAAGTTGGTAGATGTATCTATAATTTCCTAACAAATAGAACACAAAGAGTAGTAGTAAACAGAGCAAAGTCTGAGGTGGCTACGGTGAAAAGCTCTGTTCCACAAGGCACAGTACTTGCTCCCATCCTGTTCCTCATCCTCATATCTGACATAGACATGGATGTAAGCCACAGCACCATGTTTTCCTTTGCATAACAGTGTCTTCTATTGAAGACACTGGAAGAATCCAGGCGGACATCAACCAAATCTCTAGATGGGCCGAAGAGAACAATATAAAGTTCAGTGATAAGAAATTTCAATTACTCCGATATGGAAAATGTGAGGAAATTAAAACTATACCAGAGTTTGGAGCAAATTCCAACCACACAATAGAGCAAGAAATTAATGTAAAAGACCTGGAAGTGATAATGTCAGAGGATCTCACTTTCAAAGACCACAACATAGTATCATTCATATATGCTAGAAAAATGACAGGATGAATAATAAGAACCTTCAAAACTAGGGATGCCAAGCCCATGATGACACTTTTCAAGTCAAGTGTTCTGTCTAGGCTGGAATATTGCTGGACACTAACAGCACCTTTGAAGGCAGGTGAAATTGCTGACCTAGAAAATTTACAGAGAACCTTCACGGCGCACACAACTGCAACAAAACACCTCAATTGCTGGGAACACTTGAAGTTCCTCGACATGTACTCCCTAGAATGCAGGCAGGCATGTACACTAAGAGACAACACAGTAAGTGTCAGGGACCAAGACTGCTCAACTGCCACCCAGCATACATAAGGGGGATTACCAATAGACCTCTGGCTGTCTTCAAAAAGGGGCTGGATAGGCACCTAAAGTCAGTACCTGACCAGCCGGTCTGTGGTTTGTACGTTGGGTTGTATGCGGCCAACAGTAACAGCCTGGTTGATCAGGCCCTGATCCACAATGAGGCTTGGTCACAGACCGGGCCGCAGGCGCGTTGACCCCTGAAACCCTCTCCAGGTATACTCCAGGTCTCATGACTCTTGAGGCAACCTATTTCCTTTATATTGTCCATGCAAACACATAGCATACAATTTTGCCCCAAAAATATTATACTGTAGTTAAATACCTCAGGTGTTAAATATTATTAAATGATACAAAATATTGCACAGGTACTTGTTTTCCAAATGTATTTGTATCAATCACTCAATCAAATCAAATCGTATTTTATTTCCCTGCAAGATTACATTGAGATTATGAAATTACAATGAGTTGCAGTGCAAAGAGAGCCACTATCAATGCCTAGGCATTATGGGCAGACTTAATTTAATGGCTTACAGACTACTTAATACTAAAGAAATTGATCATAGTTTAAGTTGTATATCTGTTTTTATTTATAGTTCACAGTAATTTGCCCTATGTTTTGTGTGGTCTTAGTGTTCAGTGTTTTTCTGTGAACAAGTGAGATGAAGGTATGAATAAATTGTGTTGACAATGAGACAAACACTTGACACCACTTATAAGTATCAAGTGTTCTTACCTCCCTCACTTCTTATCCAAAAGATAAAGATTTTATTTCTTTGCAGGGTTAGAATGTGCATTTACAGTTTTTATTAGTTAAGTGCAAAGAAAGCCACTAACATGCTGGGGCATTTCAGGCAGACTTATCCTAATATGTAATAATTACTTACTGCCCAAACATAGGTCTACGTTTGCTCGCGTAGCACTCTGAATGTAGATCCACGTTCAAATGTACACGCTTTCTTATGCAAAAAAAAAAGTAGATCTGTGTTCGGAGTGTTACGCGAGCGAATGTAGATCTATGTTTAGACAGTTTAAGGGTTAAGTCTAGACAAGATAAGTGTGGTTAACTTTTTAATAAATCTTTATTTTATCTTAATACTAATGGAAGGTAGTCAAGGTGGACGTTTATAAGAATAATAATCTTGAAGTTGCACATAATAAAAACAATATTACAATGGTTTAAATAGCAATATTTCATGGATTGGCAGATGATTTAATGGACTCAAGGTCATATAATAAATTATTTGGGAGTTGCATCAAACTGGTTAAAAGTTGTTTGGGTTGGTCTGGTTAATATTGAGAGATGAGATGATTTTTAAATGTAGCCCTAAATTTGTATATTGTCAGGGGATCCTTTACTGGTTCAGGTAGTGAATTTCAGATCTTGGGTCCCTTGATATACAGTGTATTTTTGCATAGTGTGAGACTGACACGAGGGATGTCAAGGATTTCTTATACAGTTTATTTTTTAAAAGAATTAAAATTATACAAGTTTTGTAGTGTATTTTTGTGATTGAAGAAAAGTTTGCATTATTAGGGTAAAGTTTGTGATTATTAATTTAAGTACAGTACCAAGTTTTAAAGTCAGATATATAACAATTAATATGAGAGGTTAACTTGTACTCTATATTTTTGAGGTTCTTTAAAAGTGCTTTATTATTATTATTTTTGTTTTCTTCCAGATATGGTAACATCATATCAACAAAAGCCATACTCGATAAAAACACAAACAAGTGCAAAGGTAAATACCCAGTTTATGATCTTCCACTTTGATAATTTATGAACCATAATGTTTATGCAACTATAATGTTAATAGTACTTAGTATTAATGAAGGATGCATTGAATTATGACACTTTTTAATACTGTAGTTCACATTACTATTAATTTTGCCTTCCACTGAATAATTGTTACTGCAATACTTGATTCTAGGTCATACATCAAATCCTGTTTTAGCAGACTGTCAGTTATGACTACATTTAGCGTGTAGAAATTACTGGGTTAAGGATTTAAGACTTAAGTTGAATAGGGACCTAAACCCAAGTTAATGATGTACAGGTGCATTACTGGTTTACCAACAACAGATTAGCTGGCACCTCTTTTAGTCAGGACCAAATTATGAGATGACAATTATTTTTTTCCCAAATTACTTTACTGGGCAGCCACAAATGGCATTATATGCTCACTTATATTGCTTACACTGCAGATGCTGGTGGTGATTCCTTGATTTTGTGCGATTCTTAGTACATGCTGAGGTCAGTGATCACGTGTGGTCATACCTGTCCTAAGCTTTCTGGGATTAGCGTGGGGTGTTACCTAGCGCCATGGCTTGTTGTAGTGTTTTAAAATCTCAGGTTAAAGTGTTGAAGAAGGAGATTCTACTTCTTCAGGAGGAAAATAGGAGGCTGAAGCTTCATCTAGAGGGGTTTAGGAGTGAGTGTGAGATGGTTGTAGCTGGTGAGGAGGAAAAAGTTACCAGCAGTGATTTGGAGAGTGGCAGCCGCTTTAAGTGGCAAGTGGATCACAATTCAGGAAGAAGGATGATAAGGAAGGTTAATAGAGAAGATGTGAAGGTAGGAAATCGATTCTCTGTTCTCCAGGACGAGTGTACTTCAGTGGTTAGTGAGGTTAAAGGTACCACTGACTCCCCTGTTTATCAAGGTAAGAATATTCTAATTGTGGGAGATTCTCAGGTAAGATATATGGACCATGCTTTTTGTAACAGAGATAGAAAGATCAGACAGAGAGTGTGCCTCCCAGGAGCTGGTGTTGGTGACATAGTCAGCAGGTTGGATAATATTATGTCAGGTAATGGGAACAAGCCCATTATCTTAGTGCTAATGACATTGGGAATGGCAGGAGACAGGAGCTGCTGGATAAGTATAAGTTAGCCATAGATGTAGTCAGGTCTAAGGGAGGGATCCCAATCATATGTAACATCTTGCCTAGAAGGGGAGTGGGCAATGAATGGATGTCTAGGGCACTTGGTATAAATTGCTGGCTAGACAGGTACTGCAAGGAACTTGCAGTCCCATCCATTGATAACTGGGGCATATTCTATGGTAAACGTGATATGTATGCAAGGGATGGGGTTCATCTCTCTGGGGCTGGAGTGGTTGCATTAGCCAATTCGATTGAGGGGGTTATTGGTGACTTGTCTAGGACTTTAATCTGATAGATTATAGAGGTATGGGTGTTTGTGGGAAACAATCAGGCTGCAGTATTAGGGTTGAAAATAGCAGATATTACTGGGATACCTCAGGGATATGTTTAAAAGACAATATTCAAAATGAAGTTGCTAGTAAAGGCAAATTAACTGATCAACAAACAAAGAGAGATAGTAGAGGGCATCGAGTGACTAGCTCCCTTAAGGTTTACTATACAAATAGTAGGAGTCTAAGAAATAAGATAGATGATCTAAGATTACTTGCAAGTGCAGGTAATATAGATATTATTGCTATAACAGAGACCTGGTTCAACTTGAAAGATAGAGAAATGCCTTCTGAATGCAGCATACAGGGTTAAAAACTATTCCATACTGATAGGGTCAATAGGAAGGGTGGTGGAGTGGCAATGTATGTCAGAGATAATTTAAATTGTTGTGTTAGACAAGATATAAGATTAGAAACATTGGACACAGAATCTGTTTGGCTACAGTTTCTCGAGGGTCATGAAAAGTTAATTTTGGGTGTGATTTATAGGCCCCCAAACCTTGATAGGGAGTGCAGTAAGCTGCTATGAGACGAAATTCATAAGGCATCTAGATATGAAAATGTTGTGTTAATGGGAGATTTTAACTTTAGACAAATTGATTGGAACAATGTGACAGGAAATCTTGAGTCTAGTGACTTTCATGATATGGTTCAGGATTGCTTTTTAAAACAGTTTGTGACAGAACCAACTAGAGGAAACAATCTACTTGACTTGGTTCTTGCCAACAAAGAATCACTAGTTAATAATCTTGAGGTTAATGACGAGCTTGGGGAAAGCGATTACAAATCACTTAGTTTCAATATATCATGGAGTTACCCGGATAACTGCAATCAAATCTCTGTCCCAGACTTTTGCTTGGCCGATTTCATGGGACTGAAAAATTACCTGGGTGGGCTAAATTGGGATGTCCTGATTATGGGTCAGGTAGGTGGTGTTGGTTGCCAATATGACGTTTTTTAGAGCATAATTCTAGCTGCCCAGACAACTTTTGTTCCGGGTAGGGAAATTAGATCTAACAAAAATGATCCCAAGTGGATGAACAATAGATTAAAACATCTCATTGGTCAAAAGAGAGGCATATATAGGCATATCAAAAGAGGGGAGGAGCAGTTAAGAAATCAATATACAGTGGACCCCCGGTTAACGATATTTTTTCATTCCAAAAGTATGTTCAGGTGCCAGTACTGACCGAATTTGTTCCCATAAGGAATATTGTGAAGTAGATTAGTCCATTTCAGACCCCCAAACATACACGTACAAACGCACTTACATAAATACACTTAAATAATTGGTCGCATTGGGAGGTGATCGTTAAGCGGGGGTCCACTGTATTCAGTTAGAGAGAAATAAAAAAAAGGAATAAGAAAAGCAAAAAGGGATTATGAGGCTAAGGTTGCAAGGGATTCGAAGACTAACCCAAAAGGGTTCTTTCAGGTATACAGAAGTAAGATTAGGGACAAGATAGGCCCACTTAAGAGTAACTCAGGTCAGATCACTGATAGTGATAAGGATATGTGTAAAATTTTCAATACTTACTTCCTCTCAGTTTTTACCCAGGAAAATACTAGCGAAATTCCAGAAATAATAGATTATGTACAACAGGACGATAATCTATGCACGATTGCAGTAACTAGTGATGTGATTCTCAGACAGATAGAGAAATTAAAACCTAACAAATCCCCAGGCCCTGATGAACTGTTTGCAAGCGTGTTAAAGGAATGTAAAGAGGAACTTAGCATGTCTTTGACTAATATTTTCAACATATCATTGCAAACTAGTATAGTGCCTGATAAATGGAAAATGGCAAGTGTAATACCTATTTACAAGGCAGGTGACAGGTCCCTAGCTTCGAACTATAGACCAATAAGCCTTACCTCCATAGTGGGAAAATTTATGGAATTAATAATTGCCGAAGCAATTCATAGCCATCTCGAAAGGCATAACTTGATTAATGAATCTCAGCACGGTTTTACAAAGGGGCGTTCCTGTCTTACGAATTTACTGACTTTCTTCACTTAATTATTTGAGGAGGTAGATCATAGTATTGAATATGATATTGTGTATATGGACTTCAGTAAGGCTTTCAATAGAGTTCCACATCAGAGGTTATTGAGGAAACTTAAGGCACATGGAATAGGAGGAGAAATTTTTTCCTGGGATGAGGCATGGTTGACAAATAGGCAGCAGAGAGTTTGCATAAATAGGGAGAAATCAGAATGGGGGCACATCACAAACGGTGTTCCACAGGGGTCAGTGTTGGGCCCCTTGTTGTTCACAATCTACATAAACGACATAGATGAGGGAATAAATAGCGACATAAGTAAATATGCTGATGACATCAAAATAAGCCATCCAATTCATTCTGATAAGAACATTAGGGTACTCCAGGATGATTTGAATAAACTCATGCAGTGGTCGGAGAAGTGGCAGATGCAGTTTAATATAGACAAATGCAAAGTTCTAAATGTTGGACAGGAAAATAACCATGCCACATATAAACTAAACAACGTAGATCTTAATATTACAGATTGTGAAAAGGATTCAGGAGTTCTGGTTAGTAGTAATCTAAAACCAAGACAACAGTGCATTAGTGTTTGCAATAAAGCTAACAGAATCCTTGGCTTCATAGCAAGAAGTATAAATAATAGAAGTTCTCAGGATGTTCTTAACTCTATATATCTTTGGTTAGCCTCATTTGGATTATGCTGTGCAGTTTTGGTCACCATATTACAGAATGGATATAAATGCACTGGAAAACATACAAAGGGGGATGACAAAGTTTGATTCCATGTATCAGAATTCTTCCCTGTGAGGAAAGGCTGAGGGCCCTGAATCTACAGTCTTTAGAAAGGTGTAGAATTAAGGGGGATATGATTGAGGTGTATAAATGGAAAACGGGAATTAATAAAGGGGATGTAAATAGCGTGCTAAAAATGTCTAACATAGACAGGACTCGCAGCAATGGCTTTAAATTGGAAAAATTCAGATTCAGGAAGGATATATACACCTGGAAAATCCTAGAGGGACTAGTACCAAACTTGCACACGAAAATCACTCTCTACGAAAGCAAAAGACTCAGCAGACGATGCAACATCCCCCCTATTGAAAAGCAGGGGTGTCACTAGCACGTTAAGAGACAACACAATAAGTGTTGGGGGCCCAAGACTGTTCAGCTGCCTTCCAGCATACATAAGGGGGATTACCAATAAACCCCTGGCTGCCTTCAAGCAGGCACTGGACAAGCACCTAAAGCGGTACTTGACCAGCCGGGCTGTGGCTCGTACATTGGATTGCGTGCAGCCAGCAGTAACAGCCTGGTTGATCAGGCCCTGATCCACCATGAAGCCTGGTCGCAGACTGGGCTGCGGGGGCGTTGACCCCTGGAACTCTCTCCAGGTAAACTCCAGGAAAGCACTGGTTTGGTAATAGAGTTGTGGATGAGTGGAACAAACTCCCGAGTACCGTCATAGATGCTAAAACATTGTGTACTTTTAAAAATAGGTTGGATAAATACACGAGTGGGTGTGGGTGGGTGTCAGTTGGACATGACTAGCTACTAGGTCGGACGCAATGCTCCTCCCTTAAGTGACGTGTCTGACCTCACTAGGTCAAGGCATTGCCTTAAGCTGGTGGGGAGAATTGGAGCTGCCTCGCATAGACCAGTAGACCTGTTGCAGTGTTCCTTATTTCTTATGTTCTTATGAGGCCAAATATTCTATTAGTGGAATGGATCTGTAAGGACCTGCCTAGTATGGGCCAACAGGCCTGCTGCAGTGTTCCTCCTTTCTTATGTTCTTATATATATCTTTTGTTAACAATTACCTTATCTATGACTAGGGAAATAACTGTACAAGTAATTTGTCAGTAGTTTTGGCTGTTGACCATTCATTTGTCAGGGAGGTTAATCAAAGAGCTAGAACAGCTTTCCTTTGGGACAGAATCAAAGTTAATACATTTTTATTGGATACATGAAAAATTATGCAGGGAAAGATCAAATCACTTAAAACAACCTTGCATGGTTGAAATATTTAAAACGATAGCCAAAAAGAATGTCTTAGTACACCTTCACCTGAAAATCTGGAAAACATTAGGAAATGTTTCTATAAGGCACCTACTGTTCCTGTTCACCCATCAATAAAATCTTTACCCAGGTATTAATTGACTGGTGTGGTTCGCATCCTAGGGACAAAACTGAGCTAATTTACCCAAAATGCTCTGCATAACAAGGGGTTTTCTATATAATAGTATGTCATTGATGTCAGCTAGGCCTGTATACCTTGTACATGTACTTGTAGAAATAGATACTTTTTATTTTTATTATACAGTGGACCCCCGCCTTACGAACGCATCACCTTACGTTAAATCCGCCATACGAAGCATTTGAATGCGAAAATTTTGCCTCACCTCATGATAAAAACTCACCTTACGTGATTCGTCTGGGATGCGCCCCACGTGTGGCCTCAGCGGCAGTGTTTACAAGCCAGCCAGTGCGGTCGCATCCACGCATACCTTTGGTACATTTCACCTTATCCCAGTGTTTTTTGTGCTTGTAACTGCAAAATAAGTCACCATGGGCTCCAAGAAAGCTTCTAGTGCCTACCCTGTGGTAAAAAGGGTGAGAATTAGTATGGAAATTAAGAAAGATTTTGAAGGGTTTGAGGCTAACCCTGAGAAGCCTATGCCAGTTGTGGAATCTATTGTGCCTACTTCTAAGATTAAGGAAATGTGTGCAAAGTGGGTTGAAGTGCAAACCTTTATGGATGAAAATCTCACTAACACAGCAATTGCAAGCCGTGCTGGTGACTTACAATGACAATGTTGTGGCCCATTTTAGGCAAATCTTAAAGGAACGGGAGGTACAGACCTCTATGGACAGGGGATTCCCCTTCTAAACAATAACTTCCATACTCTCCCCTCCTCCCATCCCATCAATCATCACCAGATCTTCAATAAAGGTAAGTGTCATGTATTCTATTCTTAGTAGAGTAGTAATTGTGCATGTCTTCTTCAGTTTGTGTGTATTTAAATTAATATTTCATGTGGTAAAATTTTTTTTTTCATACTTTGGGGTGTCTTGCACGGACTAATTTGATTTCCATTATTTCTTATGGGGGAAAATTAATTCGCCTTACAATAATTTCGGCTTACGATGAGCTCTCAGGAACGGATTAATATCGTAAGGCCGGGTTCACTGTATTGTGTCTTCTCTTGGGCCAGCAAAATTGACATATGTACCAGCAAAGCCTAGGAACTAAGGCTGCCAGGAAATTGGTTTTGTACTTATACTAATATACTGTGTTTATGATTTCAGCACTGCACTAGTATTTCTTGCCTTCAGGTTATGGTTTTGTAGACTTTGAGTCACCAGCATCTGCAGACAAGGCTGTCAAGGGGCTGCTAGCATCCAACGTGCAGGCTCAGATGGCTAAGCAACAGGAGCAAGACCCCACCAACCTGTACATCGCTAATCTTCCACCACACATGAATGAAGCAGAGCTGGAGCAGCTACTTGCTCAACATGGCCAGGTCATCTCCACTCGCATCCTCAGAGACAACAATGTTCAGTCACGAGGTGTTGGATTTGCCAGGTAAAGTCACTCTCTTATTTGTGTATACATGTTTATTAGTTCAGTACTATACAAATATGTATTTATATTTTGGAAATTTATTTTTCTAAAAAAGTTATCACTACGGTATCTTCAGCCCTTTCAGTAGCTGTCACATACAACCACACCATTGAAGTCATGGTCCCTCATATAGTTCTATGTCTTGCACTCAGCTCACTTAGATAAGCTGTGAGTGGTAAATTTTGGTCTAGATATGAGAGAATGGTTTTGTGTGGTAAGTGCACACAGCATGATGGGTCTAAAATAGTGGCTTTGAGGCATTTTCTAGGATGACATTTATGGTTTTTATTGCCTGTTTCTTAGTATCATTTGATAAAATGGAAGACATACTACTAAAATAGAGATGATTTTTGTTGGTTTCAGAACCAGAATTAGCTTGAAATTGGGCTCATAGTAGCAGAAATATTCGATGTTTGCCAATTTTCCTGAGGATGGGCAAGGCATCCTCCTTATACACACACACACACACACCCCGATCTGTTTTATGGGTCTTTAGTAGATCTAATTCAGTTATTGGGACACCATAAACCATGACCAATCCTTTATGGTTATAGTACTATGTTATTATTCGAGAACTAGAGTAAATCTTCTATTTTTGTGTTTATCTGGAGAGTTTACCTGGAGAGGGTGTCGGGGGTCAACGCCCCTGCGGCCCGGTCTGAGACCAGGCTTCATGGTGGATCAGGGTCTGATCAACCAGCTGTTACTGCTGTGTGATTCTGAATTCAGAGTGAAGGGCAAGTGTAATATGGGAGAGGCCTGGGATGTGTTCAGTGAACAGAGGAAATGTTGTTTTAGTGCTAGGAATGTTTACATTGTTTATTTTGGACTATATTTTTAAATTGGTAATTTTTGAATTGTGTAAAATTGGCTAAATTTCCAACTTCTGTGCACTGTATACAGTAGTTGTAATAGTTGAATAGGCAGTTTCTTGCATTTACTTGATAGAATGGAAAGCATGCTAGTGAAATAGCTAGGAAAGTGGTCGAATAGAGCAATGAAATTGGCTTAGAATAGGACTCAAAGAAGACAAAATCACTGATTTGTAAATTGCACCCAGACTGCTGATTTTGTGCCTACGTAATTCTGTAAGTTTTCCCTCAAATTTTGTACTTTTGGTGTCATTGCCTTCAGAAAAAGATTATCTACCATTTCAGAAGAAAAAAGTACAGGTACCATCCGACCTACAACCAAGTTCGGTTCTTACAAACCGGTCGTAAATTGAAAGAACATAAGTTGAACCTTACTACTGAATATCACATCACATTTTTGTAATGACTTTATTTTATTGTGGTATTTAATTTTTTACTTTACTTTTTATGCTGTTAATACTGTATTTTATACCGAAAGATTTAGGATAAACACTGTGTACAGCACAGACAGTTGTTTATTTCCCAGAAATTTGGCATAGAAAACACGGTCGTAAGTCTAATGGTCGTAAGTCGGATGGTAGGTGTATATACACATATATATTTCACTAAGAACAATATTAATTTTGGGGGTTGTACAGTGAAAAAGTTAATGAACAGAGAAATTGTTGCTGTAGTTCCTGGAAAAAAGGTGAGTGGTGCGTTGAGGTATATGTGGAGTCAAAAAACGTTATCTATGGAGGCAAAGAAGGGAATGTATGAAAGTATAGTAGTACCAACACTCTTATATGGATGTGAAGCTTGGGTGGTAAATGCAGCAGCGAGGAGACGGTTGGAGGCAATGGAGATGTCCTGTCTAAGGGCAATGTGTGGTGTAAATATTATGCAGAAAATTCGGAGTGTGGAAATTAGGAGAAGGTGTGGAGTTAATAAAAGCATTAGTCAGAGGGCAGAAGAGGGGTTGTTGAGGTGGTTTGGTCATTTAGAGAGAATGGATCAAAGTAGAATGACATGGAAAGCATATAAATCTATAGGGGAAGGAAAGAGGGGGAGGGGTCGTCCTCGAAAGGGTTGGAAAGAGGGGGTAAAGGAGGTTTTGTGGGTGAGGGGCTTGGACTTCCAGCAAGCGTGCATGAGCGTGTTAGATAGGAGTGAATGGAGACGAATGATACTTGGGACCTGACGATCTGTTGGAGTGTGAGCAGGGTAATATTTAGTGAAGGGATTCAGGGAAACCGGTTATTTTCATATAGTCGGACTTGAGTCCTGGAAATGGGAAGTACAATGCCTGCACTTTAAAGGAGGGATTTGGGATATTGGCAGTTTGGAGGGATATGTTGTGTATCTCTATACGTATATGCTTCTAAACTGTTATATTCTGAGCACCTCTGCAAAAGCAGTGATAATGTGTGAGTGTGGTGAAAGTGTTGAATGATGATGAAAGTATTTTCTTTTTGGGGATTTTCTTTCTTTTTTTTTGGGTCACCCTGCCTCGGTGGGAGACGACCGACTTGTTGAAAAAAAAAAAAAAAAAATTTTGAACTGCTTTTAAACTGGGCAAACTTACTATTTCTGTGCACTTTATAGTATAGTTCTGATAGTCGAATAGGCAGTTTGTACTTGGTCAATAAAACGGAAAACATACTTGCAAAATAGCTAAGATTTAGTTGAATTGAGCATTGCATAAATTGTGCCCAAACCACCAAGTTTGCACCTTTCATACATTCAGATAAGATTCTCTACCACTACTGACATCGTCAGCACTTTTAATTTCAGGGGTCTCGAAAGTGAAGGAATTAAACTGTTAAGGATGTCTCATAATACTTGGAATGTTCTCTCTGGAGCAAACAAGAGATAGATGCTTGATAATCATGCATATGAGGCATTGCAAAGCATTAAAGAGTAAGCACCAAGTTCAAACAGTGAAGAAAAACACAAGTATGCCAGAGATTGGAACCTTGAAGATCAAGTTACCATACTTTGTTATGGGGTTCTCTGCCTAACTTTCAAATGCAGAAGACAATATTTACACATTCCCACAAATAAATGAAGCACTGAGGAATTTATTTGTTCATTAACCTGAATTTTTGCAATGGTGATGCTCATTCTTTTCTGCTGTACTCACCTATTTGTGGTTGCAGGGGTCGAGTCACAGCTCCTGGCCCTGCCTCTTCGCTGATTGCTACTAGGTCCTCTCTCTCCCTGCCCTATGAGCTCTATCATACCTCGCCTTAAAACTATGTATGGTTCCCGCCTCCACTACGTCACTTTCTAGGCTATTCTACGGCCTGACTACTCTATGACTGAAGAAATACTTCCTAACATCCTTTTGATTCATCTGAGTCTTCAACTTCCAATTGTGACCTCTTGTGTCTGTGTCCCTTCTCTGGAACATCCCGTCTTTGTCCACCTTGTCTATTCCTCGCAGTATTTTATATGTCGTTATCATGTCTCCCCTGACCCTCCTGTCCTCCAGTGTCGTCAGGCCAATTTCCCTCAACCTTTCTTCGTAGGACAATCCCCGTAGCTCTGGGACTAGTCTTGTTGCAAACCTTTGCAGTTTCTCTAATTTCTTGATGTGCTTGACTAGGTGTGGATTCCAAACTGGTGCTGCATACTCCAGTATGGGCCTGACGTAAATGGTATACAGAGTCTTAAACGAATCCTTACTGAGGTATCGGAACGCTATCCGTAGGTTTGCCAGGCGCCCGTATGCTGCAGCAGTTAAATATTGGTCAAATGTATTGTCAGTGTTTGTATATGGTAGTTTTTCTCTTAACATAGTTTTAGCAAAATTACACTTGGACAATTCAGTCGTCACCAAGTGAGGTACAGTTGTACTTTTATTGTGAATTACTACATCATTCTTCACAGTGTTGATTAAATGTTTGTCTGGGGAGGCTTGAGAGTTTACTATTCTGATGTGAATACAGAATGCCGGGTTTCTACCACTTTCCCAAATTACCAATATCCACACTTACATACAAGGCCCATAAGAAATAATGTTTTATTAATGCTGATCTGGAGTTACAAATGTGTGACTCACAACCATCCTTGTACAGTACTATTGTTTCTCTGACAAAATAACCTTCAAGCATTAAACAACTCTCTTGTAATCTGGCACACCAGGAATGTGACTTGTTTGTTACTTAGGATTCCTTTCACGTGATGCAGACTTTTTTTTTTTCAACAAGTCGGCCGTCTCCCACCGAGGCAGGGTGACCCAAAAAAGAAAGAAAATCCCCAAAAAGAAAATACTTTCATCATCATTCAACACTTTCACCTCACTCACACATAATCACTGTTTTTGCAGAGGTGCTCAGAACACACTAATATCCCGAAACCCCTCCTTTAGAGTGCAGGCATTGTACTTCCCATTTCCAGGACTCAAGTCTGGCTATATAAAAATAACTGGTTTCCCTGAATCCCTTCACTAAATATTACCCTGCTCACGCTCCAACAGATCGTCAGGTCCCAAATACCATTCGTCTCCATTCACTCCTGTCGAACACGCTCATGCACGCCTGCTGGAAGTCCAAGCCCCTTGCCCATAAAACCTCCCTTACCCCTTCCTTCCAACCTTTTCGAGGACAACCCCTACCCCGTCTTCCTTCTCCTACCGATGCAGACATATGAAGCTATATAATAATGTGTTGAACAAGTGATATACTCTCCTTTATTTGAAATAATTATACTGTATATACTATATATTATATATAATTTGAAATAATTATATATACTTTACATGGGAAAGTGAAACAGAATTCTTCCTCCATAAGCCATGTGTGTCATAAGAGGAAACTAAAATGCTGGGAGCAAGGGCCTAGTAACCCCTTCTCCTGTATACATTACTAAATTTAAAAAAAACTCTTTTTTCTTTTTAAGCCACCCTGCCTTAGTGGGATACGGCTGGTTTGTTGAAAGAAGAATAATTATATAGTACACATATATATTTTTATTTTTTTTTTTTTCAACAAGTCGGCCGTCTCCCACCGAGGCAGGGTGACCCAAAAAAGAAAGAAAATCCCCGAAAAGAAAATACTTTCATCATCATTCAACACTTTCACCACACTCGCACATTATCATTGTTTTTGCAGAGGTGCTCAGAATACAACAGTCTAGAAGCATACACATATAAAGATACACAACATATCCCTCCAAACTGCCAATATCCCAAACCCCTCCTTTAAAGTGCAGGCATTGTACTTCCCATTTCCAGGACTCAAGTCCGACTATATGAAAATAACCGGTTTCCCTGAATCCCTTCACTAAACACGTATATATATACTATATAATGTGTTATAAAAGTGATGTACTGGCCAATATTTGAAATAATTATATATACTATATATATACTATACCTGACGAGTTGTTGGAGTGTGAGCAGGGTAATATTTTGTGAAGGGACTCGGGGAAACTGGTTAGCCAGACTTGAGTCCTGGAAATGGGAAGTACAATGCCTGCACTTTAACCCTTAAACTGTCCAAACATAGATCTACGCTTTTTCAACATTTGAAAGTATGTAAAAAAAGTAGATCTTTTCTTTTTTTTACATTTGAAAATGTGTAAAAAAAACTTTTATCTACTTTTTTTTTTTTGTTATATTTGAAAATATGTAAAAAAACGTAGATCTACTTTTAGAACATTACGCATGTGAACGTAAATTTGTTTGGACACTTTGAGGGTTAAAGGAGGGGTTTGGGATATTGGCAGTTTGGAGTGACTATCTAAACTGTTGTATCTGAGTGCCTCTGCAAAGACAGTGATTATGTATGAGTGATGGTGAAAGTGTTGAATGATAATGAAAGCTTTTTCTTTCTTTTGGATCACCCTGCTTGAGTGGGAAACAGTTGACGTGTTAAAAAAAAAAGTGTGTATATATATACAGCCTCTCTTCACTTAATGACGGAGTTCTGTTCCTAAGACCACGTCGTTAAACAAATTCATCGCTAAGTGAGGAGCATACTATAATGGTAGTGAGTTTGTGTCAGTCATCTTTGATATTGTTTTAATGTCACCTTTGCACCATTTGTAACATTTCTGGTATACAGTGGACCCCCGACTTACGATCAGCTGCCAACTCAAACAATTATGCAAGTGTATTTTTGTAAGTGCTTTTGTAAGTGTATTTTTGGGGGTCTGAAATGGACCAATCTAATTTACAATATTCATTATGGGAGCAAATTCGTTCGGTAACGGCACCCGAACAGCCTTCTGGAACGAATTAATATTGTAAGTCGGGGGTCCACTGTATTTTTAAATGTTTATACAGTAGTGTACTGTATATTGAAATAAACAGAATAGAGGAAATCAGCTCTAATATACATTATTTAGGTATAAATATTGGTCAGAGAGCCTGCCTCAATGGGAGATGGCCAACTTGCTGAAAAAAAAAAATGTGTGTGTGTACAATAACATTATAATTACTAGTAATAATGTTATTGTTCATGTAAATTAAAGCAAGGATACTCTATCACAGCTAATAGATCTGTGCCATTTTAGGATGGAGTCTCGGGAAAAATGTGAGCAGATTATCCAAATGTATAATAAAAAGTTGCTGAGAGGGGCCAAAGAGGCGCTCCTCGTCAAATTTGCTGATTCGGGCAATAAGAAGCGCAATCAGTATAAGGCCAAGGAGCAGACTAGTTGGGAACGCTCAGAAGTAAGTCGAGGCTGGCTTTGTTTAATTATATTTGTACTTTACTGTTCGTTTTTATTTTAAATTTGCCCCCAGAAATGTTGTAGTGTACAGTACACTGAAGTCTATAGTATTTCAACAGTTCTTCCTTTCACAAGATGTGTGATGATTATACCATGCTTAATGTAATGTTCATTGTTTCCTTTATTTCAGGTTGTATCATGCACAGTTGTCTAAAGAAAATAATATAATACAATGTGTTACCTGTTTTTATTACCGTGCCCTCTTTAATGCAATATAGTTTGATATATATGCTAGCTTGGCTAATAATTGTTGAGGCAGGTGACTTGCATTACAGTTTATTTATGGCAAATTACTACTTTAGAAATGCGAGGATAAAAACTAGCTTTTGGATAACGTGCTTTTTTCATGATGTAGTTTGGTTTTACACTGCTACATTAGGCCTTCACCCAGGGATAACTGGGCAAGTATCACATTACCGTGTATATTTGGGTCTCCACTATCAATTCTCAGTTTGGGTTAGAATGACAAAAAAAAAAAAAAAATTGTAGTGGTAGATACGTATTCATAAAATGGTCGCACCTATTAGGTCATGCTGACTTGACGTTAGTGGAGGTCACTCTTTGACATGGGTAAACTGCCCTAGTCAATATTTATTATTGCATTGTACATGCAGAAATATACAACAAAGATAGAATGAACAGATTATACTGTAATTTGGCAGACAGCAGCTAATGTATATGCATAGGACACCTGAGAAGGGGCTAGGAAGAGGGTGTGAAAGTTTTGAGAGGTATTCGTTCAAGCATTCAGCTGACATGTGTGATTATATTAGCAGAAGCAGAGACAAATGGTTTTGGGTATGTTTTGTTTGTGTCAGCAAGTTATTACCTATGATGGGACTCAGGGAGCCCAGTTAGCCACACTTGAGTTTTGGAGGTGGGAAGTAGCATATGCACTTTGAAGATATGGGGACATTGTGATTTATCAAATCAAATCAAAGTTTATTCTCTATGAGGATTACAATGCGGGGTTTACAGATTTTGGTTATTGTGTGGTTTACATGTAATAAAATACTAATTACAGAGGGGGCCACTAGAACACCTAGCAAGGCTAGGCATTTCGGGCAAACTTAGATTAATTCTTAACCCTAAATTATTACAAATTGTGGAGTAAGTTGACTAAATACTAAGTGACTAAATACTAGTTTGTGAATTTAGCAATGTGAATGCTTTTGTTTTGGCACAATACATAGTTTCTATATTGGAGTATCACAGGCAAACTTATGACTAGTTAGGAATCATTATTTTAAGATTAAGATATGTATTTCTGTGCGTATAGTCAAATGGGTGAGTAAGTGTGAACCACCAGGTGGTTTTTATGTAGTTAGTTGACGGGGTGTATTTAGTGGATCATTTGAAATGTGATACCCATGCACTTTTGGAATAACATTAAAGGAATGTATTTTTCTTCACTGGGGCACCTTGCCTTAGTGTAAATGGCCTTTGTGCCCAGAAAAAAAAATACACTTCTTGGTGACTAGCATAAATTGCTTTACTAAATGTCAACATCATCTCCCACAGCCAATTCCTGTGTATGACCAGTCATCTTTACTTCCACAAAACGGAACGCTCATGCCTTCAGTGGCCTCCGGTGCATTCCGGCAATATCCCCCGTCCCAGGTGCCAACATATCCTTTGCAGCCATTCTATATAATGCAACCCCAGACACTTCAACATATGGATGTTTCTCCGGTAAGGGTTCACATTTTCCAAAACGCAGGTGCAGTATTTCTTTAAAGTCAGGCAGTAATTTTGCTACATAGTTAAATGCATGATTTTATGAGTACTGTACACTAATAATTAGAGGGCAGAGAAAGAGTTAAGGTGGTTTGGACATCTGGAGAGGACGTATCAGAGTAGGATAACCAAGAGGGTGTATAAATCTGAGGTGGAAGGATCCATGATATACTAATATGCACAATTCATAGTGCCCTCAGATTTGCTTTGAATGGTAAATTTTGGCCTAGACATGAGAGAATGAGTTTCTGCAGTGGGTGTGCACAGTATTAAAAAAAAATCCTGCTTCACACAGTAGCTAACTTCTCACTCTGTATTTGGATTAAAATAACTATTTTGATGTGTTTTTTGTCGTTTTATTGGCTGTTTCTCGGTGCCTAACTTGTTGAAGGGTTTGTGTGCTTCCTATAGCTATCTTATACTAGTGTGCCCGTGCTGAGAGATGCAGCTACAGTAAAGGCACATATAATGAAGACATTGTGGAAGGAATTGGGCTATCAAAGATTTTATGCAGTCAACAATTCAGGAAGGTACCCTGACACACACATTAACTCTTTCAGGGTCAGTCTCATACTTCTACGACTTAACCCTTTGAGGGTCGAGAACCCCCCAATCCTTAACTCGCTCTCAGGGTTGAAAATTGTTCAAAAAAAAAAAAAAAAAAAAGACTGTTTCTTATGAAATGATAGAGAATCTTTTCCCAATGGTAATGACACCAAAGGTACGAAATTTGATGGAAAAACTTACGAAATTATGCTCTCACGAAGTTAGCAATATCGGCAATATTTATGCAGTGGCGATTTCACCCACTTTGAGCCCTGTTTTTGGCCAATTGCATTGTTCCAGTTGACTAAAATCATAGCTATTTCGCTAAAACTCCATTTGTTCTATCGATTGAGTACAAGAAACCGCCCATTTACCTATTGCAACTACCCAATAAAGTGGTCAGAAATTGGCAATTTGGCCAATTTCAACCAAATAACCAAATTTCAAAAGATGCCAATTTCAAAATAGGGTCCAGAATAAACAAGACACATTCCTGGCACTAAAATAACATTTTCTCAGTTCATTAGTCACTTCTCCAGCCCCGTCTTATATTACTCTTACTTTCCATTTTGAATTTTTATTCTCACAAAAAATAGAAGATTTACTATTATGCAGACTACTGCATTATTGTAAAAATGGTATAAATAATATCAGTGGACTTGTGAAAGAATATAGACTCACCAGTTGACATGTATTGGATGCGTGGTGTGATTTGTTTACTCTTGAACATCGGCAAAAATTAAACATTTCCTCTACTTTGAGCTCAATTTCAAGTTTTTTTTTTTTTTTTTTTTTTTACCCTGAGAGTGAGTTAAGGATCCGGGGGTTCTTGACCCTCAAAGGGTTGAGAACTCTTGATCAAAGGAATTGGGGGCTACTCTCCCCTTCCTTAAATTGGACCTGATTACCTGTCTCCAAGCACTGTATGGCCCATACAGGTTCAGTGCTTCAGAAAGAACATTGACTCCTCCTCCAAGGAGGACCTGAACAAGTGTTTCAGAATGAACAATTTCTACCATTGGAAAACTGACGGAATTACGCTCTCGCGAAGTTAGCGACCTTGGCAATATTTACGAATCGTTGATTTTGGAAAACTGACGGAATTACGCTCTCGCGAAGTTAGCGACCTTGGCAATATTTACGAATCGTTGATTTTGCCCACTTTGAGCCATATTTTCAGCAAATTCCATTGTTCCAGTCAGCCAAACTCATAGCTATTTCTTTAGAACTCCATTTTTTCTATCGATTGAGTACAAGAAACTGCCCATTTACCAATTTCAACTACCCAATAATGTGGTCAGAAATTTGCAATTTGGCCAATTTCACAAAAATTAAAAAATATGACAATTTCAAAATAGGGTCCAGAATGAACAATGCAGACATTCCTGGCTCAAAAATAACATTTTCTCTGTTCATCAGTCATATCTCCAGGCCCCTCTGATATTACTCTTGCTTTCTATTTTGAATTTTTATTCAAACAAAAAATAGAAGATTTACTGTTATACAGGTGTCACTAGCACGTTAAGAGACCATACAATAAGTGTCAGGGGCCCGAGACTGTTCAACTGCCTCCCAGCATACATAAGGGGGATTACCAACAGACCCCTGGCAGTCTTCAAGCTGGCACTGGACAAGCACCTAAAGTCGGTTCCTGACCAGCCGGGCTGTGGCTCGTACGTTGGTTTGCATGCAGCCAGCAGCAACAGCCTGGTTGATCAGGCTCTGATCCACAAGGAGGCCTGGTCACAGACCGGGCCGCGGGGGCGTTGACCCCCGGAACTCTCTCCAGGTAAACTCCAGGTAAACAGACTACTGCAATATTGTAATAATTGTATAAAAATGTCAACCCATTCATGACTGCATATTAGAATGGCTAGTTGGACATTTATTGGAAAATGAGATCATTTGTTTACTTTTGAACATCGGCAAAAATCAAACATTTCCCCTACTTTGAGCTCCATTTCAAGGTTCTTTTCATAGTAAAACCAATCAAAATCACCTCTATTTCTATAATATGTTTTCCATTTTGTCAAATGAGACTAAGAAAATGAGAATACAACCATAAATACTATACGAAAATAGACCACAAAGTCGGCATTATGCACTGCATGCTGCAGGATTTTTTTTATATGGTGCACACTGACCACACAGACCCATTCTCTCACATGTAGACCTACCAGCTTTCTCCTACTTGACTTGAAGCCGCTAGAATATATGAGTATATGTATGTCAAACGGTGGTTCGTAAGACGTATATATACGACCGAAACAGTCAAAGGGTTAAATTTGATGGAAAAACTTATGGAATAACACAGGTACAAAGTTAGTGGTCTGGGCACAATTTATGCATTGGTGATATAGCCAACTGAGTTCTGTTTCAAGACAATTCCATTGCTCCATTTGACTGAATTCTTAGCTGCTTCACTACAATGTCTTCCATTCTGTCAATTGAACAAAAGAAATTGTCCATTCATTTATTGCAACTACCCTATAAAGTGCACAGATATCTGTAATTTGGCTAATTTTACACAAATTTAAAAAATATCAGTTTAAAAATAGAGTGCAGATATTGTTGGCATTAAAACAACATGTCCTCTTTATATATCATCTGCCCAGGCCTCTCCTATATTACACTTGTCTTCCATTTTGAATTCAAAACCACATAAAACTAGAAGGTTTACTCTATTTCCTGGATAATAAAATATGACCAGAAATGATTGGTCAAGGTTTACAGCATCCCAGAATTAATGGGAATAAAATTAATTCGTTCCAAACAAAAATATTAAAAAAAAAAAAAATAATTTTTTTACAGTTATGTAAGTATTACATACCTTTATTGAAGGCTAATGCTGGCTTCTGGAAGATAGGGAGGAGGGAAGTGGGAGGAGTTAGTGTATGGAAGGTAAATCCCCCTCCATGAAGACTTTAGGTAGCAATGCCTTCTCTGGGGTTACTTCCCTTCTCTGTCTTTTAATGCCACTAAGACCAGCTTGAGAGTCACTGGACTCCTGTCTCACAAAATAACTGTCCAGAGTGCTCTGTTTCTGGCATCTCTTTAAGATTTCCCTGAAGTGGGACAGGGTTTTGTCACTAAACATGTTGCAGATATGGCTTGTTTCAGCTTTGTCAGGGTGGTGTTTCTCTACAAAAGCTTGCACCCTGGTCCACATTGCCTCACCATGCCTTACAACACTGTGTATGCCATTATGCTTCTTAAATCCATCAAACCATCCTTTGCTGGCCCTAAATTCATAAACTGCAGCACTTGTTCCAGGCATTTTCTTTGCAAGATCCTCATGCAACTGCTTTACCTTCTCACAAATGATCGACTCCACTACATTGTCTCCCACTAATTCTCTTTCCTTAATCCACAATAATAGTAACTTTTCCATCTCTTCCATTATCATTGTCCTTTGTTTACTTAGACAAGCTGCTCCTTTTGCAACATTAGCGTCTTTGATTTGTTCTTTCTTTGCCAGGATGGATGTAATTGTTGATTTATTTTTGCTGTACATCCTGGCAAGTTCCACCACCTTCATACTGCTCTCAAAATTTTCTGTCACTTCACGCTTAAATTCCATGGTGTTTCTCACTTTCTTTACCACAGGAACTTTACTAGAAACTTTCTTTGGAGCCATGATTACTTATTTCACAGTTGCACTGCAAGAAAAACCACTAAAAAAATGGTAAACAAGCGAAATGTTTGGATGTATGAGCAGAAGCTTCCTTAGCCAACGAGAGAGAAAGCCAAACTGAAGCGCAAGCTGCCCCAGCCAGCAGATGGACGCATCCAAAACGGCCTATAACCGAGCGCTGAAAACCCCGCCAATAACCGAGTTGGCCAATAACCAAACCGGCCGATAACCGGGGGTCCACTGTACTGTGTAGACTCGCCAAGTAGATCCATTCTTTCGTATCTAGGCCAAAATTTTCCACTCATCCTATCTGAATGAGCTGAGCTCATGACAGAACTATGTGAGGGACCCTGGCCTCAGTGACATACGTAGTTCTGTGTGACGACCACGCCACTGAAAGTGTTAAAAATATTGTAGTAGGATACATTTTTTAGACCATGTGCAGCAGAAACAAATTTTCATTATTGTGTTAAGAACATACAGTACTTGGTTAAAATATTTCTGGCTTTATGCAAGGAGTGAAGAAAAATCTACAGTAATTATTTTTTTCAAGAGTAAACCCAAAATGCCTCAAATGTGAAACTTAGTTATATTAAATATAACTTTAATATGTTGCATGTGTGAGCATGCTAGATAGGAGTGAATGGAGACGAATGGTTTTTTGGGACTTGAGCTGTTGGAGTGTGAGCAGGGTAATATTTTGTGAAGGGATTCAGGGAAACTGGTTAGCCGGGCTTGAATCCTGGAAGTGGGAAGTACAGTGCCTGCACTTTGAAGGAGGGGTTTGGGATATTGGCTGTTTGGAGTGATATTTAAACTGTTGTATCTGGGCACCTCTGCAGAGAGAGTGATTGTGTGAATGATGGTGAAAGTGTTTCTTATTTTTTTGGATCACTCTGCCTCTGTGGGAGATGGCCAACATGTTAAAAACAAAAAATATATGGTCTTAGGTGCATGTGTATAAGCAACAGTTACAGTGAGGTAATGTATTTTGTATACTACATTGCACATAGAAAACTTCTTGTGTGTTTCTTCTAATTTCTTGTTTTATCACCTCGTTAGATAATGCAACCGACTATGGATACGAGTCAGATGCCCTATTCCCCAGTTTATACCCACACTGACGACACACATGCAGCAGCTCCACCTGACGCCTGGCACTGTGAGTAAACTAATTATCAGTGTGGAATTTGACATTAAAGAGTTTTTTGAAATAAAAATTTAAACACTGATTTGTTATGGATTGTTTTAACAATTATGAATGTGGAAATTTGATATTTAATATTTTTTAATAATTGAAACCAATTTATTTCTGATTGTTTTAACCCTTAAACTGTCCAAACTAGATCTTCGTTCAGTGCGTAGCGCTCCGCCATGTTTTTCCCCATTTGAAAGCATGTAAAAAAAAAACATAGATCTACGTTCAGAGCCCCCCACATGTGGACGTAGATCTACATTTGGACAGTTTAAGGGTTAATAATCAAAACAGCTTAATGAGATATACCATGTACTATAGGTTCAAAATATCTCCAGGAAGAGAAATGAAATCATAGTTAAGAAGCTAAACACAAATTGCCTTTACAAAGGTTAAACTTTTCTTTGTCCTCTATGATGTAAATAAGTAATTTCTTTTGACTTTATATTTTAATTTGTACTCGTATTGCATTGTGTATATGAACTAAGTTTAAGATTTTTCTTAGTTCAACCATGAAGTGTCCATGTGTGAATGGTTACAGCAAGGAGGGTACTTGACAACTAGTGGAGGATATCCACCTTCACCCTACACCCCCATGATGCAGCACATGGCCATGATGGATGACTCCACTGCACACTCCCCTGATGAATACCAACCTTACCCAACCACTCCTGGTCCAGTCCAGTGTCAGCCACAACCCAAGTAACATTGTGAGTACCCTGCATCTCACACACTATCATAGCTGCTCTTACAGAATCAAAACCATAATCCTTAAAACTTTATGGGGAAATTTAGTTTACTCTTATTCATATTGATCATACAATAAGCCATGGTACCTCATATTATTATTACAATCAGAACTAAGTGCTAAACCCACAAGGGTCATACAGATACTTAATATAGTATCATTTGTCAGGAAGCCTAATTATGTGGCTACAAACAGTTCATAGTTATACAGGTACCATCCGACTTACGACCGAATTCGGTTCCGACCAACTGGTTGTAAGTCAAAATGGATGTAAGTCGAACCTTACTACTGAATATCAACATCATATTTTTGTAATGACTTCATTTTATTGTTTTATTTTGGTATTTCATGTTTTACTTTACTTTTTATGCTGTTAGTTCTGTATTTTATACTGTAAGGTTTAGGATAAACACTGTGTACAACACAAACAGTTGTTTATTTCCCAGAAATTTGGCATACAAAACATGGTCGTAAGTCGAATGGTCGTATGTCGAGCAGGTCGTAAGTCAGATGGTAGGTGTATACTGTAAATATTTCTTTTTAACACACCAGCTGTACCCCACCAAGGCAGGATGACCTTAAAAAAAAAAAAAAAAGTTTTTTTTTTTTTTAAATTTAGTAATTTATACAGGAGAAGGAGTTACTAGCCCCTTGCTCCCAGCATTTTAGTCACCTCTTAAAACATGCATGGCTTTTCAATAGAATTTTTTTTTTTTTTTTAACAAGTCGGCCATCTCCCACTGAGGCAGGGTGACCCAAAAAGAAAGAAAATCACCAAAAAGAAAATACTTTCATCATCATTCAACACTTTCACCTCACTCACACATAATCACTGTTTTTGCAGAGGTGTTCAGAACACAACGGTTTAGAAGCATATATGTATAAAGATACACAACATATCCCTCCAAACTGCCAATATCCCAAACCCCTCCTTTAAAGTGCAGGCATTGTACTTCCCATTTCCAGGAGTCAAGTCCAGCTATATAAAAATAACAGGTTTCCCTGAATTTTATTATTATTTTTTTTATTATCACACTGGCCGATTCCCACCAAGGCAGGGTGGCCCGAAAAAGAAAAACTTTCACCATCATTCACTCCATCACTGTCTTGCCAGAAGGGTGCTTTACACTACAGTTTTTAAACTGCAACATTAACACCCCTCCTTCAGAGTGCAGGCACTGTATTTCCCATCTCCAGGACTCAAGTCCGGCCTGCCGGTTTCCCTGAACCCCTTCATAAATGTTACTTTGCTCACACTCCAACAGCACGTCAGTATTAAAAATCATTTGTCTCCATTTCACTCCTATCAAACACGCTCACGCATGCCTGCTGGAAGTCCAAGCCCCTCGCACAAAAAAACCTCCTTTACCCCTCTCTCCAACCTTTTCCCAGGCCGACCCCTACCCCACCTTCCTTCCACACAGATGATACACTCTGAAGTCATTCGTTTCGTCCATTTTTCTAATGCCCCAACCACCTCAACAACCCTCCTCGCCCCTGGACAACAGTTTTGGTAACCCCACCCCTCCTAATTTCCAAAAACTACAATTCTCTGCATTATATTACACCACACATTGCCCTCAGACATGACATCCCACTGCCTCCGCCTTCTCCTGCTGCCATTCATCCCCCCATGTTTTCGCACCCATTAAGGTGTTGGTAAAACTATACCCAACATTCCCCCTTTTGCCCCCAAGAAAAAATTTTCTTTTTCTCCACGACTCCAAAGTGCACCACTCACTTTTCCCCCCTCATAAAATTCATATTCACCCTCTTTCATAGACCCATCCCTGACACCCACCCCAAATACTGAATACATTCACCTCCCCATACTTCCCCTCCAATCTGATATCCTTTTTTCCATCACCTAATCTTTTTTTTATCCTCATAACCTTACTTTCCTGTATTCACCTTTAATTTTCTTCTTTTGCACACCCTACCAAAATTTATCCACCAATCTCTGCAACTTCTTTCAGAATCTCCCAAAAGCACAGTGTCACAGCAAAGAGAGCTGTGAAAAACTCCCCCTTTGTGTTGATTTTTTTTTTTTAACTCCACACCCCTTGCCAAGACCCCCGCATTTACTTCCTTTCAACCCCATCTAAAAATATTAAACAACCACATACACACACATCCTTGCTAAGGCCACTTTTTACTGGGGAAAAAATTCCCTCTTTCCTACAACTCTAACTTGACCTCACTTCCCCATAAAAACTCTTTACTGCTTTTAGTAAACCCACCTCCCACCCAACACTTGCAACATCTGCCACATTTCCCCCCAAAACCACCCGTATAGCCTTTTCCCAAAACCAAAATGCCCCAAAGACCCTTAGCCTTATCTAAATCTGTTTACTTATTGTTTCATTTTGTTTTTATTATCTTTTACAAAAAATGTTTTTTCACTGATTTCTCATTTCTTTGTAATCTTAAGTTAATTTTAAGCCAGCCCGTAATGCTATGCATATAAGTGGCTTTGGCATGCTGCTCTTACCTGTATTTTTTTGTACCTCTGTTTGTATGCTTAAATTACTAAATAAAATAAAAAATTACTAAAATTACTAAAAACTGTAAACACCTCGTCCACACACCCCCTACCTTTCCTAAAGCCTCCTTGTTCATCTGCTATCCTATTCTCCGTCTTACTTTTAATTCTTTCAATAATAACTCTACCATACACTTTACCAGGTATACTCAGCAGACTTATCCCCCTATAATTTTTGCACTCTCTTTTATCCCCTTTGCCTTTATACAAAGGAACTATGCATGCTCTCTGCCAATCCCTAGGTACCTTACCCTCTTCCATACATTTATTAAATAATTGCACCACCACTCCAAAAATTATCCCCCCCTGCTTTTAACATTTCTAAACTTTATCCCATCAATCCCGGCCCCTTACCCCCTTTTATTTTTCCTACTGCCTCACAACTTCCCCCACACTCCAACTGGGTCTTCCTCACTCCTACAAGATGTTATTCCTCCTTGTCCTATACACGAAATCACAGCTTCCCTATCTTCATCAACATTTTAACAATTCCTCAAAATATTCCCTCCATCTTCCCAATACCTCTAACTCTCCATTTAATAACTCTCCTTCCTATTTTTAACTGACAAATCCATTTGTTCTCTAGGCTTTTTTTAACTTGTTAATCTCCTAAAAAAACTTTTTCTTATTTTCAACAAAATTTGTTGAAAACACTCACCCACCCCCTCATTTCCCTCTTTTTTTAACTTTTGTTTCCCACCCACTCTTTTAAAAACCTCCTCTTTTTTTTTCCTAATAACTTTTCCCCCCCCTTGCACACTTCAAAACTTTGAAAAAACCTTCCAAAAGCAAATTTTTTTTCCCTTACTACTCTCTTAACACATCATTCCCCCAAATTTCGCCCCTCCCCCTCCCGCCCCCTTTTTCCCTGTAACCACAAATTTCTGCGAACACTTTAACACTACTTTAAAACCCCTCCCCATACCCTTCGCCCCCATTCCCTATGCTCTCTTTTAAGCCCTCTATCCCCCCAATAGTTTTTTTTAATTTTTCCCAAAATCCCTCCTTTTTTATTTTAAAAACCTTCACCCCCTCTCTCTTCCCTGAATTTCTATTCTCCTTGTACCCTTTCCCCTTTTTTACTCTCAGTTAGCTAAAACCCCTAGAAAGTGATCTGATATACTGGGGCCCCCTATAAAAAATTACACCCTAAAAGTCACCAACAGTTTTTTAAATTTACCAAAAACAAAACCCAACAAACTACGTCTTTCGCCCTACACATATCTTTTTTAAACTTTTTTTATCCTTTTTTTTTAAAATAGGGGTTTTAAACCCTAAAACAAACCCCTTCAAACAAAGTTCAATAAAAGGGCTCCCATTATCTTTTTAACCCCTTTGGCCCCCCCAAACTTCCAAACCAACCCTCTCAAAAAGTTTTCTCCTACTTTAGCTTTCCAGGCCCCCTCCCCACAATTACTCTTTTAAACGGGGTTCCCAAAGGCTCCTATACTTTTCATTTTAACATCCCCCCAAAATCTCTCTCTCTCCCGCTTTTCCTCCTTCTCCGGGTGCATACACGCTTATTTGACCCCGTCTCGCTTCCAACCTTTATTTTAACCACATAATTCTTGAATTTACCCCAATTCAATTCTTTTTTCCCTTTCCCCTAACGATCATTAAACATTACGCTCCCCCTTCCTTTGCTCTAACTCCTCAGATACTCCAGATTTAACCCCTTTTATTTCCCCCCACTGAAATTTCCCCTACCCCCTTCCTTTTTTTCGTTTAAAGGGCCCGGACACCCAAATTTTCTTTTCATTCATAACATCAGCAACACCCTTTTCCTTGTCACTCCCCCAAAACAAACACCCCACGCAAAATTTAAGCATCCCTTTTTATAAAGTTTTTTCTTCTTCTTTTTTTTAGAAAATGTCTACGGGGAAAAGGGGGTTTTTACTACCCCAAATTGTTTCCCGCTTTTAAAAGTCCCTCATACGCACGCAGGGTTTTACGGAGAAAGATTCTTTTCCACTTCCCCCCAGGGAACAATAAAAGAAATAAAGAAAAAAACAAGAGCTATTTAGAAAAAGGAGAAAAACCAAAACCCTTAAACTAAAATTACCCTCTCCCCACCCAACAGCTCGTCAGGTCCCAAATACCTTCGTCCCTTCACTCCTTCTAACATGCTCGCACGCTTGCTGGAAGTCCAAGCCCCCGCCCATAAAAAACCCCCTTTTCCCCCCTCCCCCAAACCCCCTTTTTTGAGGACACCCCCACCCCCCTTTCCTTCCCTTAATTTATATTCTCCCCATTCATTCATTTGATTTTTTTTCCTAAAAATTTGCCCAAAAACCCACCTAAAAACCCCCTTCTTCCCCTCTGCTTCTTTTTTTAACCCAACCTTCTCCCAAAAATTTTAACCAAATTTTCTATAAATTACCCCCTTGCCCTTAGAAGGACATTCCACAGCCCCAACCACC